GATATTCGTCCACGTATGCACCGTATCCTGATTTTTGCGTTGCGCAATGAAGATGATCCAATGAATTTATACCTGGCACTGGGCAAGTTATTATTTTTTTTCGTTATTGGATATTTTAGCTTCATCACTGAGATCAAATTCACCTTGGCCAAATCAAGCATTTCTGTAGCGAGCGGGCTAAAAATTTATGTGGTTGCGCAGGAAGTTTCTTTGGCAGCTTTTTTCTTAAATTTGATGAAGGGGCTTACAAAAACTGTAGCAGTTATTTCTGTTTCTGAAGTTCTTCCTGTTTCAGCAATAAATTTTCGAGACTTACTCAAGTAGCACTCAGCAGCTCAATCAATAAGCAGATTATTCCTGATTTTAGCCAAATATTCGACGAAACTGTGATATAATTGTTGCCCAAACAGCACCCTTTTTGCTGGATATATTTGTAAAAATGTGTTTCAAATGGAAATTGGATCGGTCCGGTCTGTGTTTACAGCTAAGGGATGAAACACAGACTGCATCGAAAAATATCACCCCACTACATCTAGTTGAGAAAGGCAGTTTGCACCATAAAATAACACGTTACACATGGCCTGCGTACAGTCCTGTTGGTCTATTATTCCTTTATGAAAATAAATTTCAGCGATGTGTACAATATTGTGTGAGGAGAGTTGCTTGGATGACCTGTGCAGAGCGGAAGAGCGGAATGCTGAAAAGGAAAAAAGTGCGCGAAAAAATGATGCTTCTCCTGAAACAGGTGCGATAATTTGAATAGAAATTTTTTACATTTTTGCAAATATCATAAACAAGCGTTTTTATTTGTTTAGAAATTTACAAGGGAGATTTTTAGAAATCTGCAAGATTTAGAAATTTGAAAGGCAAAAATTTACAAAGCAAATTTTCTGAAAATAAATCAAACAATTTACAAGGTAGATTTTTAGAATGGATGAATCATGATCTGGATAATGCTGGTGACAAAATGGGCAGTTGAAAGTTTATTTGGGAGAATTCTTGAAGTTTAAAATATCGCTTAAAATTTTTGACCGTTATTACTAAGTAATAATCCAGGTGATGAAGATTTATTTTCAAAAAATTTGCTTTGTAAATTTTTGCTTTGCAAATTTCTAAATTTTGTGAATTTCTAAAAATTTGCCTTTTAAATTCCTAAACCTTGTGAATTTTTAAAAATTCAACTTGTAAATAGAAAACTTGCAAAAAAAAAGTGATTCCTTATTGAGTAGTTGCGGTGAATTAGCATAGCAACATCGAAATTAGTAGTTTTGGTCAGTTAAACTGATGTTTGCTTAGTTGAATGAAAAAGTAATAATACAGGTGGTAAAGATTTATTTTCAAAAAATTTGCCTTCTAAATTTTTGCCTTTCAAATTTCTAAACCTTGTGAATTTCTAAAAATTTACTTTGTAAATTCCTTGAAAAGGTAGCCGAAATTAACTGTCACCAATTGATTTTTTGCCTCATCGTAGCGCATTTCCAGTTGCACAGCTAGCTAAACAACCTGTCTTTTTTGATGTTTTTGAAGCTGACCAGTAGCAAGCTGCGATTGACATTCTTTTAATAACCCTCGTAATTTGCTATTGGTTCCTTTTGTGTTGTTCCAAAGAAAGGTGTAGAATGTGCCTTGTTGTGTTCTGTTTCCTCAAAGTAACTTTCGACATTCTTTGCAGCACTTAAAATCGGATGTCTTTCTTCTTAATGGCCAGGATGAATTAAATTTGAGGAAAAATCGAACATTTCAAAAAAAAAAAAATAATTTATGATAAATTTTTTAGAGTATACGGTTTCGGTGATACGATCAGTGGTGAGTGCAATATGCGATAATTTGTGCAGGAGCCATTGGTCATCCGAATTATCTGTGTGTTTAGCAGCAATGGATTGCCTCAATGCCTTCTCTACCATGCATCAGTCAATGCTTTTCCATAAAGGTTCGCTTATAATGCTTCATTTTTTCATATTTTTCGTGAATTTTCCATGCATTTTCTTCTAGCTCACAGGCAATTCTTCGAAGCCTTCAGTATCTTATCCATTCACTTTCGAGTGCTTCCGCCTCTCACTGTTGAGAATACCAAGATCGCATGGGCGATTGGTATACAGATTCTATGCTACTGATGGTACTGGGATGCTTCCTCATTCTCGATGCAACTGTGCTAGGCCTTTCCGACCCTCAGCAGGGGGGTTTTATGTGAGGAAGCAAGAAGTGAAATATAATTGCGCTTGATTGCAGGTGATTTATCGACGGGTTTTTTGATTGTCACATCGCTGTGCCGTTTCATCAATGCGCAACTGATGAAGCCACCACCGCTACATTCGAAAGATCTCCATTCCTCCGTAAGAGTCGAATTTTTTGACAAAAATCTTCTGATGAGCTACCATTTTACCTCCCTTATTTCCCCTAGACACATAGCTAGCCGGAGAGAATGTGGGTGGGATCTTTCTTTTTCGATTAAATTTTTAATTAAATTTATTTCAATTAATCTTTTTCAGTTAAATTTTAACTAAATT